TACCTCCTGGCGATATTGGGGGGGGGGATGGTGGGGGGAGGCCTGAGATCACAAATGTGTGCCGTTGATATCACGAACAGACCATAAGCGCTCTGCTGCTGCATTCGTGATCCCCAAAGCACCCTAGAAAAAGTTGGGGAAACCTTTTTGGACAGAACGCTAATTCGTTGGATAGGAGCCGATCGTAATATAGTTGTCTAGAGGGTTGCTGTGCAGGGGCCTCTTTTTGATTGGTCGCCATACCCGACATAAGGCTCTCATCTGTTCAGCGAGAGAGAGGCACAGAGCTTGCTATTCTCATTGATCGGGTGTGAGAAATCGGCCATCGTGAGGCTTGTAGCATCTAAGATCCTTCTGTCGACTCATAGAATACAAGGCGCTCCGGTAGGGCCAGGTAAGAAACATGAGCGTAATACGATGGACATTAATATGTGATCTGATTTGGGATATACGAAACGCCACGAGAAGCGCTGTGTATCGAAGACAGCCCGAAAGTCAACCATAGCCTACGGTTTGACAAGGTTGACAGGATGAACGAACTTAGCATCCCCAGCCCGCATTCGATAGGTAGATATAGCGCCAGCCCGGAGTCAAAGAGTACCAAAGTAGATTAGTCCACTATAGATGTGAATGCACGAGGTCTACTATTTTCAACTTCAAAGTGCCGACACCATGATCGGCTTTCGATATCAGTTTTTCCTGGAAAACAGAATCAGAGATTGACGCAAGACAGAGGTCCGCTCGGCTGAAGACGTATAATACCCCAAGGACGCGAGAGCTTCAGGTTTTTTGTTGGCTCAGGCTACCAGAGATCGCGAGATTTCGAAACAGGATACAGCCTGTAAGTTAAAAGAGTTGGGTGCTGTTGAGAGACACAATCTCTCCTGCTTAAGAGCGTGTCTACGGCCCCGGGAAATACATGAATGAAGCGCTTCCGATCGACTCTGCAGAAGTTCGGATGAGCTCTGATGAGACTCTCGTCATTACGGTGCGAACCGACTGGGAACCCGGGGATCGGAGCTCGGAGGTCACCTTGAGGCTCATATTGCGTCGGCTTCGACAAATGTCGTTCACGAAAGGCGTCAGTGCGTTCAACAAACACCTGTCCGATTGACTGGTAAGTTGATGATAGAAATGCAGCGTACGCGTTGAAATTATGGTTTTTGGCACCATTGAGCTCCACAGTGAGTTTGAAGTAGCCTGACTAGTTATTGATGTCCATTCAAGGACATTTAAGGCCGTAGAGGTGGGTTTGCTTCGCGAGAACATGGGAGTTTGAGTTTTTGCATGGGCGCTTATGAGCACCTGCCTTTTACAGTTTAAGCGCGCATGCTGTGCCGCCGCTACAGTTACCAGTGTGCAGCTGCTCGTTGGCACTCACCACCACTCTCTCCTTTCGGGATCTCCATTTCCTCTTTCTTTTCTCTATCTATCGGGTCAGTTGACCCGTGTGAGCATCTGCCATGAGGCTTACAGGCCCGGAATATCACTCTCTTTCACAAACGCCCGAAGACGATTCCGATACTATAGCTCCTTCAATATTGTCAACGACATCCGGGAAATCGATAGTGAAACCACCTACATACTATGGAGAGGGCTCATTTGATCCACCTTCTTCAGACTCAAGCGTTGATGAGGAAGAAGAAGGATTGTTAGAGATGGAGAAACCACCCATGAGTCCGGGGTTCGCTGAGAGCGGCGTAGGAGGTATTAAGAAGAAGGTATGTTGTGTTCGAGTTTTACTTCAAAGCATGGGCTAATATCTTGCAAATGAGTGTAGAGACCGTCTTCGTTGCGATTTTTGATCACGACAATCCTTATACTGCTCGGTTTGAGTGCCCTTATTGGGTTGATTGCAGCGAGAACGTATGTTGGAACAGGATATAAGCTGCCTGGGACGAAGAAAGTCACAATGGATCACATTTTCAACGGAACTTTCTACCCCCAGAGGAATAGTGTGGAATGGGTTCCCGAAGGTATGTTCTGCCGCCCTTCGAGTGACCGCAGCAACTAATGATCGCAATTTACAGCCGGCGATGGTGTGTTCTCCATAAATGAAGGCGGGCTCATCAAGCTTGTGGATCTCAAGACCAATGAGACCAGAAATTTGGTGGACATGAGAGACGTAAAAGATGTACGTGCGCCATCAATTCGCAGTTGGCTGGAGGAACTGACAGCTTGCAGGAACACGGAAACGGTCTCATGATTTCAGGCTGGCAGCTATCGCCTGACATGAAGTATATCCTCATAAAAGCGGACTACGTCAAGGTAATGGTGTCAACCATCTCTGCGGGCAAGGGTTTGGCTAATACGGAGATTACAACGCAGCAATGGCGTTGGTCATCTTACGGGAATTATTACATCCACAATATTGAAGCCAAAACCACGTTCCCGATAACAACACCGACAACACCGCCAACAACAGCTTATGCTGCCTGGTCCAATACCGGAGAGTCCGTCGCCTTTGTCCAAGATAACGATTTGTATGTCCTCATGCAAGCCGAGTGAGCACAAATCGATTTTCTTTCTATTCTCATATTCTCATCTGCACCCGCAGCGGCACAACCCAGCCAATCCGTATAACGAATACTCCTCCGGAAGCCAAGTCGACCGTCTTCAACGGCGTCCCAGACTGGGTCTACGAAGAGGAGGTCTTCTCGGCGAACTATGCTCTCTGGTTCTCTCCTACGTCTACCAAGCTCACTTTCCTACGCTTTAACGAGAGTGCTGTAGACGAGTTCGTTTTCCCGATCTACAACCCAAGCGAAGATTCGTACCAGGTCAATCCCTACACCTCGGAAGTACGGATGAGGTATCCAAAGCCTGGCTATGCGAATCCAATTGTGAATGTCTATGTGGTAGATTTGACTGCTATTCCTGTTGGCGGTGTCGCGGAGGTCAGTCGCTGTCAAACCCATCTTGAAGATCTCGTGCTAACGCTATTGCGTAGGCTATGGTAGAGTTATCCTGGGAGGGCCGCCATCGGGCAGAGGATTCCATCATCTCGGAGATAGCGTGGGTTGGGGATGACGAGCTCATTGTCAAAGAGGTGAACAGAAACGCCGACGACGGCAATGTCGTATTCTTCGACCTCGCCAAGAGTGTCAAAAGTGCGACACAGGGTCTTGTCGTACGCAAGCTTGGCAAGAACGGTGAGGAGGGCGATGATGGATGGATTGAAGCTGTACGTCCCCTTCAATGTTCAAACATCTCTATGAACTGACGTCGATTCACAGAGCCAAGACATCTACCCAGTTGATCTAGGGTACCTGGATATCGTACCGACTCCCGAGGGGTTCAACCATATCGCGCTCTTCTCACCTGCCAACAGCTCGAATCCAATCTGGCTCACGAAAGGTGAATGGGAGGTTACTGGTGGTATAAAAGGCGTCGGCGCGGCTGATATGTACGTTTATGGCCCCCTTTGGCCGGACATCCTCATTAACCGACGAATCTCTAGCTACTTCGAGGGAACGAAGGAATCCTCTATCGAACGACACTTATATTCTGTTCCTCTTCCGACATCCGACGTTTCCAGTATCAAGCCAACAGAGCCCAAGTGGTTGACCCAACCGTCCACCCTGATCAATCCGAACGTACCCATAGTTTCGACCGAGCTCAACGCAGAGCTGAACGAACAGCTGGGTAACGGAAAGGAAGAGCAAGCTTTCTTTGACACGGATTTCTCGCCGGAGGCGGGCTTCTATGTCTTGAGTTACCGAGGGCCTAACGTTCCGTGGCAGAGGATCATCAAGACCGAGGATAAGGGTGCGCGTCGCCGACTCTGGTCTGGCTCGCACGAACTTATGATGTTATTTTCCTTTTGCTAGCTTTCGATTATGTCCTAACTTCCAACGCGGTGCTTGTCAACATCACCAGCCAATACGAGGCTCCGACTGTCGTCTACGATACTATCAAGAGTGATGGCGTTGGTGCGTCTACTTCCCCGCTTACCCTTCCTCCGTCCTGCTTTTTTTTTTTGCTTACCCTGTCCGGTAGAACTAAACGTAAAGGAGCTCCGCCCGCCCCGTATGGACGACTCTGGCCGAACCAAGTACCCGGTTCTATTCCACGTCTACGGAGGACCTAACAGCCAACAAGTCAACACCCAGTTCTCCTCGAACCACGATTGGCATTATTACCTCACCTGCAACCTCGGTTACATCGTCGTCACCATCGACGGACGGGGGACAGGGTTCAAAGGGAGAAAGATGCGAAATTGGGTGAAGAGCAACTTAGGGTTCTTCGAGACGAGAGATCAAATCGAGGGAGGGAAGATATGGGCGACGAAGACGTACGTTGATCCAAAGAGGATTGGGATTTGGGGGTGGTCGTATGGTGGGTTTATGGCGTCGAAAGTGGCCGAGGCGAATCAGGGGGTGCATTCGTTGTCGATGGCGGTGGCGCCTGTGACGAGTTGGAGGTTGTATGGTATGTTGTTCCCCCTTCCCCTGGAGGTTTTTTGCTGATTTGGATGTGGATGTTTGTAGATTCGATATATACTGAACGGTATATGAACCTTCCCTCGTTGAACCCGGGGGGGTATATCAACGCGTCGATAACGAATGTGACTGGGTTCCATAATATCAACTTCCTCCTGGCTCATGGGAGTGGGGATGATAATGTGCATTATGCGAACTCGGCGCATTTGATAGATATGCTGACCAGGGAGGGTGTTAGAGGTTGGAGGTTCCGAATGTTTACGGATAGGTTTGTACTTTTTGGTTACGTTTCATTGCTTTCTCCATGTACTGACCCCTGGCCCTTTGCTTGTAGTGACCATAGCATCGGTAGGCGGGGTGCTTATAGGGAGCTGCACGAGTTTTTGACAGAGTATCTGTTGGAGAAATGGGGGAAGGGCGGGAGACGGCGGGGATGGTGATATTTATACTAGAGGAACGGACTTTGATTATTGTACCGTATGATGCATCCGCTACTGGATTTTTTACTTCCGAGTTCGCGCACGACTTGGAGAAAAAAGCTAACTGGTTATACGGCATTGACGAGAGTGGGATTCGAACCCACGCCCCGGAGGACTAGATACTGGATTTCAAGATCCTGATTCTAGCGCCTTAGACCGCTCGGCCATCTCGCCATGCTACCTATTGGAGAGACAGAGATATGAGCTGATTGCCCTGCCACTGCCACACAGTGACTTTTGCGGAGCTTCACTGTTTACTTGTCCAGTTTCGCTGTTCATCGACTTCTCATGCTTCGTGGTGACAATAGAGTGATAATTAGAACCCCTCATTCGATCATGTGAGTGGCTCGATTCCTCAACATCCTCGCAAGCCGCTTGCACCCAGATAGGTTGTACTGGAGAGTCCCGAACATGTCCCGAGTTCCGACGACCTTACGAGGTCAACCGTGGCTTTTCGTGATCGATCGCGTGCTATGAATATATTCCCAACTTTATCCAAAGGGTACATCGACTCTCGAGCTCTGTTTGCTTGAGTTACAGGAACAGGCTCAAAACAGGCTTATAGTTATGCTCTTGAGAACGATACAGCTTTTCAGTCACTTCCGAGGAGCTGGACGGCTGGCAAGACGATGCCGAGGGGCACTGATAAGACCGAGGATCGTTGAATGGATGGCTCGAAAGCTATACCGCGTATGGATATGGAGCAGTGGACCAAATCGCGCTTTTGGACTCTCCGTCGCTCAGCTCGAGTTGTTCCTCTAGGGGTCCTGCAACTTTTGTTCTCCCGTAGGGTCCGAACCTCCCGCGTGATGAGAACATGAGACCCAGGCTCTAGCCTTCCGAGTGACATACCGGTCATTTGGTGTATTGAGAGAGCCGCTTTGTCCTTAGTCTACGATTGCATCACTAGAAGGCATGTTGAGGCCCAGGGCGCTTTCCCTGAACCGATCATACATGTCCCCATCTTCCCGTCAAACTCGCCCGCATAAAGATTTAGGTCTGGCAGACCCCTCGCGACTCGATCCCTCGGTTAAGCAGGCAAGTATGTAGCGCCCTTACCCCGAACTTCCCTGATTTTCTAGGTTTTATGTTCCGTCGTACTCTGACTTCACCCCCGGATTTCCGTCGACTAAGGACTTTGGACTCGGGAATCCGAGGTTGGAGGCCCGAGGGGGTCTCATGAGGGTCAAAACTGAATTCATGATCAAACTGGGCGTCATTCATTCATCAGGTGGGAGAAAGTCATACTGGATCGGCGTTGAATGAATTCATATCTTATTTTCGAATCAATGGTCCCGACTCCCGGAACGCGCGTTCAAGACGTTGTTTTCCTGATCACGGCTTTTCATGGTCGAGATTTGGAGCCCCTGATCCAGAGAAGACCCAAGAAAGTAAATGCCTTGTGGGTACAGGAGGAGTCACGAGTGTAAAGTGTGTGTTGCGTTTTTGATGGAGATGCCCATATGAGATGATTATCTCGGAAAAAGTGCCATACAACGTGGAGAATGCGAGCCGGCATGTCAATTATTGTTGCCAATTGGACGGGCTGGGACGTAATATGAGAGGCGACGATAGGCATGAACTGGGCAAGGGTTTTCGACCACTGCAGTTAGGCTCTTGCTCCCGTGCCTCGAACAAGTCGTGGGAATTGTAAGAACCAGAAATTACCGGAGACCTTGGAACGAAAATTGTGCTATTGGGCAGGAGTGACGAGAAAAGGTCGAGATTTGAGAATTGAGGACCTCGATGAAGCTCTTGGTACTCGGTCCGGCCGAGATTGCCCTCGGAAAGGGCCCTGTTGCTGTTGGAAACGATGCTCAAGGGCTATCGAGAGCTGGAGCTAGTCAAGAAATAGACGCACCACAGTCCTTCAAAGTTTGTATGCGCAGTTTGAAACAAACAGCGTTATCAGACTACATATAAAACCACTTGCATCGGGGTCGACCACTTCTTTCCCCGATTTTGCATTACGTGAACCTTTCCCACGAGATCGAGGCGTCGGCATCAACACGACCAAATTCAGACAAATACAAACAGCCTTCCCGCCTACGTCGACGAAGAACCCCGCATCACCGTCGAGGTCGACGACGAGGACCGCGACGACGACGACAGTGACATTTGTACCGACGACGAGGATCCGTATGGCCACTGTTCCGGGGCAGCAGCAGCCACCCAATACTCCTCAACAGGCCCAAATCCCTACCTCTCAGCCAGGCCAACTTCCGTCCTCGCAGCCCGGTCAATTACCAATCCTTCCATCGTCTGCGCCAGGGTCAGGACCGCAGAATGATTCACACTTGCCATCTAACATGTCCTGGGAAGGCGACAGGATGTGCGTTCTCATTCCAACGTCTATATCGACGTGTTATTGCCGTATTGCTGACTGGTTGGTCTGTCTGGCGACGAACGTTTTCCCTTTTGAAATAGGTTCAACATCTATATTCTCGACTATTGTAATAAAAGAGGCTTCAAGAAGACGGCAAAGGAGTTCACGGCTGAGGCAGACCTGCCGCCAGATTCACAACCCCCGATAAACGCGAAGCAGGGTCTTTTGTTCGAGTGCGTCGTAATGCTGTTTCTTTATTTTGGACTGATGTGCTGATAGTTCTTTTTGTTATAGGTGGTGGAGTGTATTTTGGGTGCTGTTTACTGCGAAGAGCAGCAAGGCTGGCAGCGAGGATGCATTGCTATACATCGAGGTACCTGTCACTTCATTTCTTTCATTTTTGACTCGGTCTCCATTCCTTTGATATTCGGTATCGAGCCTTGGGTGATGGGTGTCGAGCATGCGCTAGTCCTTGGAGGTCCAGAGAGAATCAATATCAAGCCGTCCATCACCTTCTATCACTAACGGAGCCGATCTTTCATTCTATTTTTTTCGATACCGACGACCCTGAAATGTTCCCAGTCGTTCGGAAATCTGCTCTTTCTTTGGATAATTCATTTCGTATCGGTTTCTTTCGCCCTCAAGGGAGGCAGTTCAGACGTACTGATTGACCCGTTCCAGCACACAGCCCAACAATCAGCGATGCGACAGGCAGCCAATCAACGACAGCACCACCAACACCCTTCTATGAGTTTGAGTTCTGGTCCGAACGGTATCACCATGGGTCAACAGCCAGGACAGGGACCACCAGGGCAACAAGGACCGTTGGTAGGTCCACCGCCGATGGGGAGGGGCAACGGTGGCCAGAGAATCATGCCCAACGGCATTGGACCACCACAGGGTTCTCAACCAGGAAGCATGGTAGGGGCGAACGGAGCTGGCAACCCTGCCGGATTCCAACCCGGAAATCCGACGATGAACGGTATCCCTCCCCAAGGCGGCTTGTCTCCCGGCCAGCAGCCAATGCCCGGTGGACTTCAGAACCCACAGTTTTCTGGAAGACCTCAATCTATGAATCCTCGTCCCGCACCGAACGGCCAGCAATCTCAACCGCCTTTCCAGAGTCCGACGATGGCTCATACTCCTCCTGCTGGTCAGCAGGGACCAGGTCCTCAGCAGCAGCAACAGCCTGGTCATGGTCAAGGACCGATGATGGGACAAGGTGCAGGACCTTCCCCTCATTTGGGTCCACGACCTGGTCAACCCGGACCGAGTGGTATGTTACCTCCTCCCGGCCAGCAAGGGCCTCCCGGCAGTCAGCAAGGAAACGGCCCTGCGCAAGCGTCGACGCCCAATTCGGGAGGTACGGGTTACCCGATGAGCGGTAGTATGATGGGACGTAGTCCGAGTCGAACTGGAGAAGGCCAACCTGGAGGACCTAGCGGGATGATGACGCAGCCGAGCCCTTTGATGGGTAACAGGCAGATTGGGGGTCAGAATATGGGTGGAAATCCCAATCAGATGATGAGTGGTGGTACTCCAAATATGATGGGTATGGGAGGTATGGGAGGAGGGATGCCTGGGGGGATGAGTCTCGGCGGTAGTCCGATGATGAGTGGTATGGGTGGTATGGGCGGAATGGGTAATATGAACAATATGGGAGGCCCACTAGGAATGGTTCCCTTGAGCACCTTGGACGCAGAAATCTCTGCGATACCACGGGAGCGCGTATTGGAGGTCAAGCGTGAAGCTGGCGTTGAAGGGAAGGATAACTTGTCACTAGAGGACAAGGTTCGTGTCCTGACCATCGCGTTTATCTGTATTTGCTGATCGTCCGCTCTTCTAGCGGCGAGTCGTATCTGTCTATCGTGCGCGCCAGGCTAAACATGGTGGCGCACCACCGCTTTCAGGTCCTCCCGGTGGCATGGGTGTTTCCGGGGGTCCTATGATGGGAATACCTCCGAACAGTGCAAATCCTCAGGGCGGTTTAGGCGGTCAACCTGGCGGCCCCCAACAGCCTGGCATGGGAAATCGGATCGGCGCTAAACGAAATAGTGCGTCAGGGGTAGAGGTGCGTCTCTGAACTGACCTGTTACAATGATCATCGTTAAAACGAATTTTCCTTAGGCCGAGGGTAGTGCAGGCTCGTCACCACCGAACGCAAAACGACGTCGGCCTTCACCAATGGACACCCAACAGTCGCCTATGCCGGGTGCGCCGAACTACCATCCTCAACAACCTCAAGGCCCTCAGCAATCTGGCATGCAACCTGGTATGATGGGGAGACAAGGTATTCCTGGGCCTGGGTTTGGTGGTATGGTACCTCCGCCTAGCGGCGGGATGAACCCAAATTCGACGATGGGCGGCGGAAACATTATGGTTGGTGGGATGGGTAGTATGAGTGGTATGAGTTCAGGCGGAATGCCTGGTCCGGGTGGGATGCCAGGACCGATGCAATACCGCAACCACAACATGCAGGTTCATAACCGAGCAATGTCAGGACAGCCTGGAAATGCCGGTTCGCCTGCTGCTTCGGGTCCGCACGACCCGTTTGGTAGGAAGCCTTCGCAACCTGGCGTCCCTGGTGGTAGCATGATGCCTCCTCCGCCGTCTCCTTCTCCTGGGATGAAACAGGAGGGTACCCCCAATTCCGGTGGTGTTGGTCCGAAGGACGGTATAAAGGCTGAAGGGTCACCGAGAGGGAACCTCAATGCCGGCCAGACGCCTGGAAGCGGAACCGCTTCGTCGACACCCGTGCTCCAGCACAACGTCGTACCCCCAGCGCCGCCTCCTTCTGCTCAAAGCCAGGGTTCACAGCAACATACCCCGAACGCTGGTCCTGGCGGGA